GGGGTGGGGGGCTTGGGGGGTTGGGGAGGAGGAGAGGGAGAGGAAGAAGGGATTGACATGTGAAGCAAGCTTGTTCCTAATTTGAACTAATAATTTTTTTTTTAAATGCAAGTGCTGTTTTCCCACAATATTCCCTGGTTTTCCCCACCCTCCCTTTTCTTCTCTCTCTCCCTTTCCCTCTGCTCTCTCTCCTCCTGCCTTCTCTTATCCTACCTTCTGCTCTTACATAGCACAGCATAGAGAAGGCTGGGCCTCTGGATTTCTGTATTTGTTTAGCCAGGCTGACCTGGAAGTAACTATGTTGCTCAGGCTAGCCTGGAACTTCAGGCAATCCTCCCTCAGCCTCTTCAGAGCTGGGATTCCAAGTATGAGGTACCATACTTGACCGGGGGTCTCCATTTTTTTTTTTTTATCATCCCTTGTTAAGTCTCTCCAGCTGTAAAATGAGGCTTCCCAGCTTATCTGGCCAGGTAAGGGCAGGTCATCTGGGCCCCAGCTGAACCTTGACCTCTGCCAGGGGAGCCGCCCCCAACTCTATAAGTATCCAGCTGCCCCACACCCACGACAGGTGCCAGCTCTGCTTTAGTGGGTACCAGGGGAGAACAGAGATCCTCTGGTGTGGCAGCTGCAACCTCGATGCCTGGCCAAGTCTGGACCAGGTTGGCTATGATCCAGCTGGCTCCATAGCCAGGGACACTTTTCTAGACAAACTGGTTTTTCCCGCTGGCTGGCAGCCCAAAAGAGTAGCGCAATTCACTTGTGGCCCAAGACTGGAGAGGCTCTAGCTGATTTTTCTAGACTCCCAGGATTGTGCCCCTTCCCTCTGTTTTCAGGAAAGCCCGCTGTGAAAGCAGGTTATGTGCAGTACCTCAAGCCTTGCTGCTAGTTTTTGCCTGGTCTCAGCTTCTAGAAGATCAGACCCTTCTCTTACAGCAACAGAGCTGTCCTGATGGGAGGCAGGACCTCTCCAAGGCTCTTCGTTAGGGTTCAGGGAGAGCCAAGAGACCCATGGCTCCGACAATAAGTTCGTGGTTGTGCTGTTCTGGGTGCTGGCAGGAGGCAGAGCTGACAGAACATAGGGCAAAGGCTACCAGGCTTCCAGGACAAAACAACAGCAAAGGAGGCCTGAAGGCCCGGGTTCCCTCCATGTTCTAGGCAGTCCCCGACTCTGCTGTCTATTCCTCTATAGTCCTGATAAGTTTATTCTACACAGTGAAGCTCTGTATGGTTTAGAATGGTCCCTCCTTCTCCGGGACTCAGTTTCCCCATCTGTCCATAGGCGAGAGGACTGGGTCATTCTTTGAGCAAACTGTTTGCCGGGCTGTGTGCTGAGCCCCGCAGATGCATTGGAGGAAAGGTACTTGGAGGTTCTAAGGAGTGAAGGCTGGGGGTTTTGCATCACATGTGCGGAAGACCCCGACTGCCCCCAGATAAGAAAGGGCTTGGCAGATTCGGAATGGTAGGGTCTAGCGCTCTGCATGTCCTTGATTCAGTGTCCACTTAGACCAGACTTAGGCTCTCCAGGGAAGGTGGCCCAGTTTGTCCCCGGATTCTCGCTGCGCCGCTCTGCTCCGGGAGCAGAGCTCTGCGCGGGAATGGTTCCTTGGCAACCTGGGAGGAATCTAGCCGCAGCCACAGGCTCTTCCTCTCTCCTCCCACCGCCTCCTACTGCGGGCGCTGGGGGCGGAGGCTGCCAGCCCATTATAAAAAGCAACCGAGGCTGGTGACGGAGGCACTAATCGGAGCTGCGACGCGGCCCAGCCTTCTAACCCACCGGATTCCTGCACTCCAGCCATGGCTCCCTCGCCGCTCGCGTGGCTGCTGTGCCTGGCCGCGTTCTGCCATCTATGCACCCTGCTGGAGGGTGAGTGGGTCTTGGGGTAGAAGGGAGGAGTGTGTTGGGGTGCAGATAGCATTTCCCTGGGGGAACTCCCCCTCCACCCCGCGCTAGTCCAGGCCATCCCAGTGGGGCAGGAGCAGGGGGCGAAAGCTTGGAGGGTCTGTGGGAGGCACAAGGTGTGTGGGGAGGAGAGTGAGGGCTGGGAGAACCTGAGCAGGCTCCTGTCTGGTGGACTGGTCTAGTTCTTCCTACCGAGGTTAACTATAACCTGTGTAAGCCCGAGGCCAGAAAAGAGTGAAGACTTTGCTCTGCCCTGATTTTCAAGGCCCCCAGGAGTAGTTAAGGTCAAGGTCACTGCAGCTTATGGATGGGGCTTGTCTTTGTACTGTCGTGCAGCTTGTCCCTCTCTCTGTCTGTGTCTCCCCCATCATCCTGGCCACCTCCTCCAAACCCAGCTTAGAAAATATTTTATCTCCACGGACTTGCTTTCTGGACTCCACTACCTGGTAGTACAAGGTGTAGACATTCCTAGTGACATAGGAAAGATGGAGACCCAGAGACGGTTAAGGATCTGAAGATGCTCAGTCAGTACTCAGGACTGGAGAGGGTGATGCTGACTGCCCCACCTCAGCGAACCTCTAGAGTTAGCCCCATCTCTGGGAGGACCCAGGCCATTTGGCAGGTTGATGCTCAGAGAAGGTTGCACTTTGCCTTAGGACACACAGTGAAACTGGGAGAATAAGAACCAACCCCCAGTTTCCAGGATATCTCCATGGAACTAAATCACCACAGGGAGCTGGTGATGAGTGGGTGGGGAGTGGGGGTGGTGGAATAAAATTGTGCCTGGCTTTCTGCTGTCTGAGCTCTGGCTGCAGGCCTGGGAATATCTGGGGACAGTGAGCACTGGAAAATGGAAATCAGATGAAGGATGCTTTGCCATCACTTGCTGTGTGCCCCTGAGCTGGGTCTTGATGTCTCTGGTCTTGGCTGCTATGCCTGTCAATATAGCCATTGCTTGCTGGTAAGAAGGCTCTAGTGTCTAGGGAGGCATTTTGGAAGGTGTGTATGGTGGCAGAGGGGTATCACTTTTACTAAGCTTGTGGGAAAATCCCAGGCCAGACTGGAAAGGAGACCCTGAATGTTTGAGGTCTGAGGACCCTAATCATAGTTGCTGTCTTTGCTAAGCATGATGCAACCCTCAGTTTCTTCTTCCCCTAAATGAGGTATTCAGCTAGGTCCACCCTGGCGCTCCCCAGCAGGGGTCTCAGGCTTTAGTGCTTCTGGAGGCAGGTGCATGGATGGTGCAGGGCATCTGCGTCAGTCCCCAAATGTGGGTTTGCGGGGCTGTCTCAGGCGATAGCTCAGTGCTTTATGTAACAAACCTGCAAATGCAAGTTAGAGCAGGGAAGACTGCTCCCCAGCACTGACGCATTCACTCCCACTCAAGTCTCAGCAAGAAAGAAAAGAGAAAATTCTGCTTTAGGCTCTTAGAGCCTGCTTCCCCCACCCTCAGTGGGGGTGGAGGGGGGTAGGGACGGACAGCTTCGGTGTCAGATCCAGGGCCCTGTGGATTTAATTAAAAGCTCCCCCACTTCTCTGTTGGTCAAGGTTTTATATGCCGGTAAGCAGTTCCCAATTCATCTTGTCCATTCTTCTTGTGTTTGGCAAACACAAGAAGGACACCTGCTGTGTGACAAGCACAAGTCTGGGTGCTGGGACCTTAGCAGTGAATAAAGGGCCCAAGGAGCCCAGCTGAAATTTGACTGCAGTACACAAAATAAACCCTAAGTAAGCCCTTTGGTCTATTGGGAGGAAGGAGCATTGCAACTTGTGTGGTTTGCTTGGCTTTTGTTGTGTTTCTGAGACAGGGTCTTTCCATGTATTCCGGCAGGCCTCAAATTCATGCTCATCCTGTCTCAGCCTCCTGGGAGAGGACTGGGGTGGGAAATGTACTGGCCCTGGCCTACTATGTTGGCATTATCTACGGACGAATGTTAGGGAACCAATGAGCTCTCTCTCTAGGGTGATGGTCCTCACAATCCCCAGAGACATTTTTTATTATTACAGATGTCCCAATATTTTTGGCTCCTGGCATAGAGTCCACAGCATCAGCCTCCACAACAAAGAATGTGCAGGTCCAAAGTGTGAACAGTATGGCCATTGAGAAAAGCTGCCCCAAGGGCAGAATGCTCCAACCATTACAAAACATCTAGTCTCTAGCCATTGCATACTGTCACGTCCATTTTGAAGGTGAGAAAATTAAGACCCAGATGAGTAAAGGCTCAAGCCCTCTCTGCTAGTGCACCCAGGACCAAGTGTGTCTTCACAGTCCTTAAGGGACAACCTAAAGCACACTTCTTCCAGGAAGCCTCCCCTAGTTACTCATATTTGAAAGTTATCTCACATTCCTGTAAATCCTAGTATGTTTGTGTATGCCCAGAACATTTTAACCCTTTCCTAGGATTAAACCAGCTCTGCCACAAAGTAGACTGGTTCTGTGATCTGAACCTCTCAGATCTTCAGCTTCTGCATCTGTAAGAAGAGGGTAACAATGTATCCTTTGCAGGGACTGGGGGCAGATTGCACAGGAGCTGATGCCCAGTAGGTGCTAGCAGAGAGGTTCTCATCCCCATTATCTTGCCTGCCTGTAAATCTGGGACCCTTCTGAAGAAAGAGACAGGCCCTGTTTACCCTCCTCCATGCCCCACAGCACAGGACCTGACAAGAGAGAGGAGCCAGCATTTGTCCGTTGCCTCAATAAACAGTGATCACCACAAACAACATCAGCATCTGCAGGAGGAAGCTCTCAGTGTTAAAGACAAGAATGTTCCTGGCTGTGTATAGACTCGGAAGTAATTCAAGCCAATGCTGGCTGATTAAGGAAATGGATGGATGGATGGATGGATGGATGGATGGATGGATGGATGGATGACTGGTGAGTGGATTGGTGACAGGCAGTAGGTGAAAAGAAATTGATGGGAAAGGTGGGACTTTGAAAGAATGACAGATGGGCAGGTGGGTGAGTTGTGTGGGTAGATAGATGGATGGGGATGAGTAGAAGGTAGCTAGGAGGACGGAGGAAGTAAGAGGGTACAAAGATTGGTGGATGACGGATGGATAAGTAAATGGATGGATTAGTGGGTGGATTTGTCTAAAGGAGGGACAAGTAGACTGAAATATTACTTTATTTTATGAAACTGACCCATGTTGTGGTCAGTGCAGAGATACACGGTGACAGTGAGACAGACACAATGCCATCTCTGGCACATTTGTCCCTGACTCATTTGGTGGACAGTAGACGGCTGGCTGCACAGAAGCTCTGCCTCCCTTTCTAAAAATGGGAACTTTGTTCTAAAGAAGGGAAAGGCCTCCCCTAGTCAGTGACATAGCTGTCCTAGTAGGGCCAAGTTCTGATCCCAGCCAAGGGGCTCATACCAGAGGTTGGCTTTTTGGTTCTGCACTGCTCTGCAGGTGACAGTGGTCTTCTCTGTCCTAGTCTGGGTTCTTCCCTGGCACACAAACTCCTTTTCCTCCTCCTATCGGAGGTCATCCCTGGGCTTTCTCAGGAAGGTATCTGCCAGACCCAGGCAGGAGTGGCCACCAAGCTACTGCTACCAGGGACTGGGCGGGGAGGGGGAGTACAGCAAAGTTACTGTTAGGTCCACTGGGGATGGAGGATGGTGACAAGTCTGTGCTATAGTGTGTGTGTGTGTGTGTGTGTGTGTGTGTGTGTGTTTGTGTTTGTGTGTGTGTGTGTGTGTGTGTGTAGGCCAGGGATCAACCCCAAAGTTGTTCCTCAGGAACTATCCACTATCCACCTTGATTTTGAGACAGTCTCTTCCTTGGGATCTGGAGCTCATTGATTCATCTCTACCGGCTGGCCAGTGAGCCCCAACAATCTGCCCGTCTCTGCTCCTCCAGTGCTGGGATTACAAGCACACACCACCATGCCTGTTTTTTTTTTTTTTTTTTTTGGTTTCTGGGGCGTCAAACCAGGTTCTCAAGTTGTGTGGCAAACACTTTACCTACTGAACCACCTCCCTAGCCCTGAACTGTGACTTTCATATCCTGGTTCTTGGGGGGGAGAGGACAGCACTGTGATTCAACCAATGAGTTCAGGAGCTACTAGTGCTGGCTTTTGATAACCCAGCTCAGACCCGAAGCCCAAGCTTCCATTCCCACAATGTGGAGTGGCCCATGGCCCAGGAGCAATGGGGAGGCGAGTTGGTTTGGAAGTCTGGGTGTGTGCTTGCCTTTGGCTAGTTCTTTTTTAGGGGTTGTACTGAGAACAGCCAGCCTCATGCATACCAGGCAAGCACTGTATCCCTGAGCTGCACCTCCAGCCTCTTGTGTCATTCTTGGCAAGGTGTGCTTGCATATCCGTATATGTGTAAGTGTTATGCACAAGCAATGTGTTTCAGTGAGGGCTGCAGAGCATCTAGGCTCCTAGGTCCTAAAGACTGAGCCAAATCAGCTCAGCCTCTCCACACTACTTCCTGGAGTGTCTCAGGTTCTAGATGTTCAACAATGGCCTTTACCCAGGTCCAGAACCCGAGCTCCTCTTCATTTTTTTCCTCCCCATATTCCATGAGTATACATTAGTTAGATGACAGGGCACTCTGCTGGAAATTTAGAACAGTGGCTCTCAACTGCCGGCTGTGACCCTTTTGGGAACTGTCGAATAACCTTTCACAGGGGTCTCATGAGACCATCTGCCTATCAGATGTTTACATTATGATTCATAACAGTAGCAAAATTACAGTTATGAAGTAGCAGTGAAAAGGATTTTATGGTTGGGGGGTCACCACTACATGAGGAACTGTATTAAGGGGTTGCAGCATTAGGAAAGTTGAGAACCACTGATTTAGAAAGGGGTTGACAGGCCAGGCTTTGGTGGCGCACGCCTTTAATCCCAGCACTGGGGAGGTAGAGGCAGGCGGATCTCTGTGAGTTCGAGGCCAGCCTGGTCTCCAGAGCGAGTGCCAGGATAGGCTCCAAAGCTACATACACAGAGAAACCCTGTCTCGAAAAACAAAAACAAAACAACAACAAAAAAAAAAGAAAGAAAGGGATTGACAGAAATAGAATGCTAAAAAATGCAAAAAGTGTCAAATGTTTATATCAGATAACTGGGTTTCTCCACTCACAGAAACCCCTGCCCAGGGGCTTTTGCAACATAGCTATCTGGATGCCATTGCACCCTATTCTGCCTGCCTTTTCTTCTGAACTTATCTCACTCATTCTGCAGAACACAGGGGCAACCTGCTCAGCAGATTCCCCGCCCCCATTTCCAGGCAGGAAAGCTTACCTGTTCCACGTGTGAGGAGCAGGAGGAGGGTTCAGGTGTAGGTTGATGACTAAGTACATGACTTACTGTGCCAAAGACAGAGCTGGGCAGGGCAGGTAAGACCACAGGCCAGGGAATGGGACTGAGCAGAGTCACTCCCTCACCATGCAGGCTAGGGGACCATAGGCAGGTCCTTGTCTCCCTTAAATTCCTTTCCCCTGCTATGACTTCATTTTAAAAATTAAACCCTTCCTGGCTGGGCCGTGCCAGGAAGGCCCAGTCCAAAACACCTTTAATCCCAGTACTCGTAAGACAGAGGCAAGTCGATGTTGGAGAGTTCGAGGCCAGCCATAGCTACATAGAAAGATCCTGTCTTGAAAACAACAAAATTGCCGGGCATTGGTGGCGCACGCCTTTAATCCCAGCACTTGGGAGGAAGAGGCAGGGGCAGGCGGGTCTCTGTGAGTTCGAGACCATCCTGGTCTACAAGAGCTAGCCTCCAAAGCCACAGAGAAACCTTGTCTCAAAAAACAAAAACAAAAACAAACCAACAAAAACAACAACAACAACAAAAAATAAAACAACAAAATTAAATGCCTCCTAGGTGCCAGGCAAAGGGAGCTTTATAGATAAAGGTTTACCAGTCCAAAACAACTCCAGAGGCAGACTCCTGATGTCTGGCAGGCTGTCAAGGAGTGATATGGATGTGTGTCAAGGGCTCTGACTTGGGAGTGTAGCCAGAAGAGGCTGAGATGGGGATGGGACACTAGATGCCCAGGGGTCCTACTGACTGGGGGCCTCTGTGGACTCAGGTCAACACCTCGGCGTGACGAAATGCAACATCACCTGCCACAAGATGACCTCTCAAATCCCAGTGACTTTGCTCATCCACTATCGGCCGAACCAGGAATCATGCGGCAGGCGCGCAATTGTGTAGGTATCACTCGGGCCTCAGAAGGCCCTGGGACATCCCAACCCTCTCCTTCCTGCCTCACCCTGGGCTTCCTGCCAAAGGCTTTGGCAAGTACCCCCTTGTTCCAGGCCCACAAGCTATCTCACTGACCTTAAGATCAGTGGTTAGCCACAAAGGTGAGGAATGGCTTCCTGGATGGCCCAAAGTGGTCCAGGGGAACACCCAGGATGGTGCTTTCTCCCAGGATAAAGTCCTGTTTACACAGCCCTGAGCCCACTAGACCCCATGGGGAGGTTGAATGAGGTGGCCTACCAGAGCAGGATCCAGACTCCAGCAAGTCAGCCGGGGGCCCTGATCACTTCTTACCTCTATACCTTGGTTTCCTTACCTGGGAGATGGGTAGCAGGAGGGTGAGAGGACATGGAGGAACTAAAGTGATTGGCTAAGCACTTGGAAGGCACGAGGATGGCTGTCACCAAGTGACAGAGGAGCAGAGCCCTCAGAGTGTCTGAGGCGGAAACAGGCTCAGTCAGTCATTTTCTACCTGGCCAGTTTGGTCCCTTGCTCTGTCTGGGGCACATGGTGAGTATTGCCCATTTCCTCAGTCTGAGTCTGCTCCCCAGGACTGACGGTGGGCCCCCGAGCACCTCAGCCATGCAGGAAATGACCAGAGTCCTTTTTAACTCAGGCTCTGCTAGCGGAAGTCCAGTGCTTCCTGTCCCCTAGACAGCTCCCCCAAGGGGTGAGATTCAAAATGTATTCCTGCCTGCCCTCTCTATTTCTCAACCATGGATTGCTTCTTCCAGACTCCCCCAAATAGTTCCTTCTGTCTTCTAAGGAAAGTGGAAGAGGGGAACATGGCAGCCTTGGGAGTGCAGTGGCTTCCCAGGATATCCCTGTTGGGCACACTCATCTGTCAACTTCATCTTCCCACCGGTTAAATGGGGTTAGCATGGTAGCTGCAATGCAGACTGTATATGATCTGCAGAGGCTGTAGCATGGAATGGTAATCAGCTCTGAGCTGCTGTCGGGAGAAGCAGCCATGCACAGCCTCATGGGAGGCTCTAGATTTAGACTACACTCGGGATGCCAGTGAAGAGACCATCAAGCTTTGGCTCTGAGAAGCTGCTTTAGTCTGGACAAAACCTAGAGGAGGAAGTTGGGGTCCAGAGGGAAGCCATCACCATGGGACAGGGAGCTTATGTACAGGATCCTTCCAGAGTGAGGAAACCTGCCTTGTCTCATTCCTGGTATCAGAGAAAACCTATGGCATCCCCAGGCATCCCCAGAGAACTATAGCATCCCCAGGAGACCTGAGTCCAGAGCTGCTTGCCTGGATGCTAGTGATGTAGTTATTAACACTATAATTATTCCTGAATTTTATGATGCCTGCTCTGACTCCATCATTTCTCTAGGTCTTTATTTTGCTTAACAATAACAAGGAGTAGGGTTCCCATTTGCCTGGGACTTTCCTGGTTTTGAAAGGGGAAGTCCCTCAGGCTGAGAATGCCTACTCTGAGGTGGTGGATTCCCTCCCAGATCACATTCATGTCTCAGCCAAGGGCTATGAGACATAGGGGATGGAGTGACCCAACGTCTCATGCAGTAAGTCAGGACAGCTTGCCCGCAGGACATGTGGGCAGTGCCCCCACCACCACCCCAGTCTGGCTGTCTAGAATCTGGCCTCACCAGCCCCCTATCTTCCTTATAGCTTGGAGACAAGACAGCACAGACACTTCTGTGCTGACCCAAACGAGAAATGGGTCCAAGACGCCATGAAGTATCTGGACCGCCAGGCCGCTGCCCCGGCTCAGAACGGTGGCAAGTTTGAGAAGTTAGTCAATGTGACATCTGGGATCACCGTGGCCACCAAGGGACTGTCACCATCTGTACTGACAGAGCCTGAAACCACAGTGACTTTGGAGCTGACTACTATTTCCCAGGAGTCCCAGAGGCCTATGGGAACTTCCCAGGAGCCAGCAGCCCCAGTAACTGGGTCATCTCCCTCCACTTCCGAGGCTCAGGATACAGAGCTTGCTGCTAGGCCTCAAGCCACTGAGATTTTTGAGAAGGCTGTCATCTCGACCACCATCTGGCAGAGTTCTGCTGCCTACCAATCTAAATCTAGGCTCCAACCTGAGGAAAAGGCTACTGAGTCCCCATCCACTTCAGCCCCATCTACCCAGGCACCCACAACTTCACATTCAACCCCAGGGAATGCTGGGTCTAAAGGTCAGACCCCCAGTCTAGAGATGTCTCTAGGGTCTGAGGAGACAAATCAAGCTCATACTGATAATTTCCAGAACAGGGAGCCTGGCAACACAGTCCATCCCTCAGTGGCCCCCATTTCCTCTGAAGGGACCCCCAGCCCGGACCTGGTGGCTTCAGGCAGTTGGCCTCCCAAGGCAGAGGAGCCTATCCATGCTACTGCAGATCCCCAGAAGCTGAGTGTATTTATCACTCCTGTCCCTGACTCCCAGGCAGCCACCCGGAGGCAGGCAGTGGGGCTGCTGGCCTTCCTGGGCCTACTCTTCTGCCTGGGGGTGGCCATGTTTGCCTACCAGAGCCTCCAGGGCTGTCCCCGCAAAATGGCAGGGGAGATGGTAGAAGGCCTCCGCTATGTCCCCCGCAGCTGTGGCAGTAACTCATATGTCCTGGTGCCAGTGTGAGCTATCTGACTGCTGGTGTTCATAGTTTGATTCAGACAGCTGTCTGGGGACCCCCATCCGCATACCCACCTTCACCCAAGCTGGGGCAATGGGAATGGGGAGGCTGGGTCCTCCAGGAGCCGTGTGCTCCAGGCCCCTAGTTGTGGCCCTGGAGGCCACCTTTTACCATTATCCACTTATCAGAGATAGCAGGTGACCTTCCAACTCACCAATATTTGAGAGACTCCTCTGCTGCTGGCTGGTTGGAGGGGCCCTTGACACCCCAACCCTAGTGAACAGTTATTTATTGAGTCCCCAGCCCCCATGACACCTGTTTCCTGTGAGCACCGTGGTCCACCCATCTCACAAGCAGCAGGTCAGGCCATCTGCCTGTGCCCCCTGACCTCCTCGTTGTCTCCTGGGTTTGCTGCAGTCGCCAGTCCTTCCTCCTCCCTGGCCAGCTGCGGTGCTATCTCTCTTATCTCTCTCTGCCCCTTGTACAGAGCACACACCACTACCACCACCACCATCACCATCAACACCGTGTTGTGTCCTTTTTTGCATGAGGTTAACGCTGTGTTTCCTGGAGCTCTCTGGGAAGGGAGATGAGCTAGTGTGGGGCTTTGATGCATTTCTCCCCAGACTGCTGTGAAGGCATGCTGCATCTGAAGGCAGGGCCTAGTCCCACTAAGCTACCTGCACAGTAAGGTGCCCTGTCTGTAAAAGAAAAGAAGCGTGGCCCAGAGATGGCAATAACCCATGGCCCTGATATCATCACTTTCTCTGAGATCCTTGTCCGCATTCCTGGACGCAGCTCCCAGCCCTTATCAACACTGATAGTCACTGTCATCCCACTGGACTGACACGTTTGTACCCTGTGACTCCAAGGGCTGGCAAGCGATGACTTGAGAGTTCAGGTCCTACCCTGTGGGCTCCCAAATGGAGGCTGAATTGGGGACTTGCAGGAACAAAGGCCAACTCAGAAGGCCCCTCTGTGTCCTCACTGGGCACCCTTACCCTGCTCACCAAGATTACAGCCACAGCTCTACTCTGCCTGAAGGACAAGCCACAGAAGGAAGGGGATGACAAGCCCCTGGGAGGCAGAGGATCCAGGGTAGGCACCTGGAGTGGCCACACACCTGATTTAAGTTTAGGAACTTGTGCTTGTACTTGCACAGCCCAGATGGTTAGGAGGCTGGATCTTCACTCAACTCTGAAAGCACTGTTCACGCCAAGGTCTCACCTTTGCCCCACTACAGGCAGGGCCAGAACTCTCATAACATTCTCATAACATTCCAAGAGCCCTATGGAAATTCCTGGAATGGACTCTGACCTGGGCACAAAGTGACTGCTACAGCCTCTAGTGTGCCCAGCAGGGGACAGTTGGGTATTACCCTAGTGGAGCTGTACCTGCAGACCTCACCCCTCAGGGCCCTTGGTGGCAGCTCTCCCCACCCTGCTCCTAATAGCCCCAACCCTTCACCTTCAGAGCCTCCCATAGGTAAGCTTCGCCCAGTGACTCACTCCTTGACAGGTGGAAGCTCAGAAGAGTCGGCTCTGTCCCAGAGTGAGGAAGCCAGCCCCTTGGTGACCCTCCCTTCTGGGAAGCTTGTGGGAGGCTCTGGTCCAGCTCCTGGGTACTCACTGTGGGCTGGAGGAGCAGCAGCCTGAGTGCACTTTGCCCTGGCTCCTTCAGTAGGGAGCCTTCAAGGGTTGGGATGCCCCCTTCCCTGTTGAGAAAGCTGCTGGGGCATGTGGTCCCCTTGATGGACTTTGTGGGTTCTCCCCAGCAGGATGTGGGCCAAGATGATCTGGGGAGGCCTTTGGAGGGAGTTGGTCAATCCTTTGGCTTTTTCAAGCATCATTATCAATGTCTGTGCCATTTTGTATTTTACTAATAAAATTTAAAAGTCTTGTGAACCAAATAAGGGTGCTTTTCTCTGGGGCAGGCCTGGGCAGGGGCAGGAGAGGGGGCAATGGGGTGGAATAGGAGACAGAGGCAATGGGGGGGATGGGACAGGAGAGGGGGCAAATTCCGAGACCCTGTCCTTAGCTCATTTGCACCAGGGACAGGGATTCTAGAGAAGGCACTGCAGATGGGAATAGGGAGGACTGGGCCCTGGGCTGGCCTCAGTGCTGCCTTGCTGCGCAATGGTAAGCCAGTGCCTTCACCTCTCTGGGCCTCTATGCATGTGGGTGTGACTGGTCTCTTGGTCTGGCAAGACTCAGGATCCCTGCGGGTCCTCCTCAGTGTCCCAGATATCACGACCTAGGTACCCCGATCTTGCTGTCACTTGTCTGGTGTCCACATTTTCCTCTACAGTGTCTACAGAGGGGCTAGATCTTCTCAAGAGACCAGGAAGTTCAAAGGCATGACCCATGTGTGAGCTGTTGTACTGGTTGAGAACAGCATAACGGTGTCAAAGGTCAAGTCTAGCCTATTAGTATCTTTCGTGAATTCTAAGATGGACATTTTTTAAAAGCAGGTCCTTCCTCTCTTCATTTTATATACTTATTTACTTATTTTTATTCTTTTGGAGTAATACTAAGACCCAAAGCCTCCAGCATGCTAAGAAAGTGCTGTACTCCTGACCTGCACCCTCAGCTCTTTTCAATGTTTTTTTGTGAGACATTGTCTGAATTGCTCAGACTGGCCTTGAACTCATTCTGTAGCCCAAGCAGGGCTTACAATCCTCCTGCTTCAACCTCTTGAGAAGCTAAGATTACATATTCTGTAATTATTAAATATTGTTGTTATTAAATATCAGAACATCTTTCTATCAATAGCATCTTAGATTCAGTGTCTATATCAGAGTCTTAAAATTAGAGGCAACATGGGGCTGGAGAGGTAGTTAAGCAATTATGGGTGCTTGCTGCTTGCAGAAGGCACAGGTTTGGTTCCCAGCATGCACATCAAGCAGCTCACAGGGGATCTGATGCTCTCTTCTGGCCTCCACAGGCACCTAACATACACATGCAGACACCCACACATAACACATAAAATAAAAATAAGTTGTTCTTTGAAAGTAAAATTAGAGACAGCATTTAAAATCGGGGGGGGGGCACATACATTCATCTTTCTATATTCTCTCAGTGACTCTGAAAGATCCAACCCCATGGGCCTGTGTTCCCTCAAGGTGACATGTAGGGGTTGAGAGAGGGAGTTAGAGCCTTGTATCAGCTGACCTTTGCATCTCAGTCACTCCTGGTGCTCCAGGCTCACAGTCGCCATTTGTCATCATCATCATCCTAGCTTTCCTATGGTAAGAATATTTTTCTTGGTGCTCCTGTCTTTATCAAAAACACATCAATGAAAGGCAGACCATGATTTCACTCCCCTCACTTCTGGGGCCTTCCTTACTCCAGTGTTTCCTACCCATTTGCATCAAGAGCAGGGACTTGCAGTTCCTGAAGGATGGGGCTACCTCTCCACCTCCGCGCAAGCAGCAGCAGCCAGCCCTCCCTCTGTGGTGGGAGCGCTTCAGGTCTGCATCCTACTGACCTGATTCCCACATCCAAGAAGGAACCACTGCAGCCTGTTTTCCCAGGCTCTTCCTACTCTGCAGGACTTGGCTTTTGGCTGGCATTTCTGGAGGTGTGAGCAACATCCTACGAAAGTTCAGGAAGAGGAAGGGAGTGGGGAAACCTGGTCTCAGTTCAGGGCTCCCCAGGGACCTTGCAGCACTGTGGCCTCCCATTTTCTCTTTCACTTAGCAAGCTAGACTTAGCCAAAGCAATTCCTACCACCAATGTCGAGTTTGAAAGGGCAGTCATTCTGAAACCCCATGCAATCATACTGGTAGGTGCCATTCTTTCTTCATGGTTTCCACATGCCAGCCTGTGTGGCAAACTCTTCCAGCAGTGAGCTTTACCGTGCAAGTTTGCCAAGGATATGTGAACTGGGCTGAGAGTGCAGCTCAGTGGTAGAGCACCTGATCCATCCCCAGGGCAAGATATAGACATGTGTGACTTGCTCCAGTCCACAGGTACTGCAGAGCTGGGACGTGACCAAGTCTTTCTCCAGAGTTCAAATCTTAGGGAATGTGTCATTAGGCTTTGAGGGCTTTCATTTTGGCTCATGAGACCAGCTCCCCCTGTGTGACCCAGGCTGGCTTTGATGCTCTTTCTCCTGACCTTTCTCTACTTACTACATTGCAAGGAGTCCAGCAGGCATAGAGGAGCTGAGCTACCTGCCAAATGAAGCCTAGATGGTCTACCCTCCCATCTTACCCCTCCAAGTTCATGGATGTGTGCCACCATGCCCAACGAAGCCCTGTTTCTGCAAGCATGAGCCCTGAATTTTTAAATGTGCAGACCCCTGAGCCCCCTGATACCTCCTGCACACAGCCCCTAGGAGTGTGGGCCTGGCCTCTCACCAAGCTGCAGCCCCTCTTCCTCTCCCATTGCCTCCATCTCACATTTAGACTTTGCCATGTGGCCAGAGTCTTAGATGCCTCCCCCCAGGGCATCAGGGACCCTAGGCAGTAGCCAGCCTCAGCTCTCCCACCTTAGGCCTTTTGCCCTTAGATCCCTTCCATCTGTGGCTCCAATGTGCATTCCCCAGAAGGGTGAGGCCAGACAAAAAAACATACAAATGAATGACTGGGAAATTCCAGCTTTGAGCTGAATAATAGATGTTTTGGAGTGTGTGTGTGTGTGTGTGTGTGTGTGTGTGTGTGTGTGTGTGTGTGTGTGTGTGTAAATATGTGTGAGAGTGAGTATGTAGAATGTGTGTGTGTGTGAATGTAATTGTGTGTGTGTGAATGTGTGTGTGAGTTTATGTGAATGTGTATTGTGAGTGTGTGAATGTGTATGTGTGAGTGTGTATTAGTGTGTGTGTGTGTGTGTGTGTGTGTGTGCACATGCATGTAGAGTATGTATGTTCAAGTGTATGAGCTGCTCTGAATGGTGGGGAGAACTCAAGGGCCTCAAGGGACCATGCACATGTGCTCAGTAAATAATGTTTCAACTCCAAGGACTTGAAAACCAAGTTCCAGGCTGGCTTGCCTGAACCAGCAGCCAAGTTCAGCAGCTAGGACCCCAGAGGGACCTCTGTAATGTCAACACTTTGCAGTCAGTGTTGCCTCCACAGCCAGGAGAATTCCAGAGCAGATGTCCTTCCTTAACCTCCAGGGGACTCTGCTGTCCCTAGGGGGCAGAACAGAACTGTTCAGGATGAGTGCCTTGTCTCTAGCAATACAGGGACGGTGTGACTTTAACCAAGTTACTTAACCTCCCTGGATCTTGTTTTTCTCCTATATAAAAGAGGAATAATAACTAATCTCAGAGTAAAGAAGTCATAACATAATCCTTTCCAAACTTTTAAGAAAAGTGATGTGCCCCATGGGTTCCCAGGAGGTAAACAGAACCCATGATCCATGTTTCCAAATGGTTTGATACCCCCACCAAACACACACACACACACTTCTAAGACATGATCTTGAGGCCGAAGAGATGGCTCAGAGGTTAAAAATCACTCGCTGCTCTCCCACCCACAGCAGGCAGCTCAGATAATAGTAGTTCTAGGGGATCCGATGCCCTCTTCTGACTCCAAAGTCACCATATCATGTACACATACTCACACACAGACACACACATATACATAACAAATAAATAATGAAAAAAGACAAGGTCTCACATAGGCCAGACCGGCCTTGAGCTCACCGTGTAGCTAAGAGTGATTATGAATTCCTGAACTTCCTGCCTCTTCCTCCCAAGTGCTGGGATTGCCACCACGCCTAATGGGGGGGTGCAAGTAGGGGGGCAGGATATCACATGCTGCCCAGGCTGACCTCAAACTATTGGGCACAGGATCCTCTCAACCTCAGCCTCCCAGGTATCTGGGAATAAATGGTGTTTCTGGGCATTCTAATAAGAGCATCGAATCATAGGTGACCATAAATAAATATCGTCTTCCCAGTCTTCAGTGAAGTAAAGAAATATCATATCTGGCGTCAGAGTTCGCTTGTGCTTGAAATCCCATCACTAGAGCGGCAGAGGCAGGAGGATTGCTGACAGTCAAGGCCAGTCAGGGCTATAGTGTAAGACCTATTTCAAAAACCAAGGCAGAGGAGGAGGAAAAGGAGAGGTGAGAGAGGGAGGGAGACAGGAGGAAAAGGGCATTAAACAAATAAGAATAATCTGTAATTTGGTACTGGAGAGATGGCTCAGTGGTTAAGAGCGCTGGCTGCTCCCCCAGAGGACCCAGGTTCAGTTACCAGCACTCACATGGTGCTTCCTAAGCATCTCCAACTCCAACCCAGATTCTCAAGGAATCTGATGCCATCTTCTGGCCTCCTCAGGCACTACAGACACATGGACACATCCATAAACATAAAACAAAAATACATAACATATAAAAAAAAATGCACTATTTCCCCCTAAGCTGTTTCTTGCTATTTAAGTTGATAGGGATTTTTTCCTATCTATTGTTTTGGACTTTAAAGTAAAATTATTGAATCACAAATGACTCAAACCAGACAATCAAGAAGCTTGGAAGGAAAGGGAAGTTTTTAAATTTTCAAGTCCTTAGAGACTGGGATTGTTATTGATGTTCCTGGCTTGTTGCCTCTCAGGCACATGACCTGGCACTTCTGTTGAGCTTGTGGGGGTTGAGCCAGCAGCTCTGGTGAGTGAAATGGGAAGTGTGTAGACCTCAACTTGGCAGAGTTTGTAGTGGCTGATTAGATGGACCCCCATCAGAACCTCGGTACTGCAGGGAGTAAGTGGAGTCTGAAGTGAATTCATGCTGTTGACACGTCTGTGGCCTTGTCAAGGACCCAAATGCCTCAGCCCCATGGACTGCCAAGTGAAAGTATTGGCAGCGTGTGCAGAAAATGTCCCCCAAAGCTTCCTCTCCCCCCACTCCCATGTTTGTGGTCTAAGGACTGCTTCTCTGCAGAGCATGCTCCCACCGAGATTAGAGAAACCTGCCTCCTTGCTCATCTGTGAGCACTCACCCTGCTTCTTCATTTATCTGTATGTAACAACCTCCCCGCTCAACAGTATATATAAGAAACCCAGTTTCTGGGGTGCTGGGGTTCTCCATCAGATGTTTGTACCATTTCTTCATCAGCTCTAGTTAGGGTTCTGGGACTGAGGCTGGCAGAAAGAGGCATGGTACTACTGGCTCAGCCTCTACTACGTTCCAGGAAGTGCCTGGGTCCCAGGACACATGTGACTTGGAGCTTCTGGCTGTGGAGAGAGCCCAACTGTTCAACATAAACATGCAGGGTTAGAACAAATAAGCCTTTGTGGTTTTAATCTGGGAGGGTTGGAGGTTACTTATGAGTCAGCATTACCAGCACATCCCATTGGCTCTGACACCATCAAGAAAAGACAGGCTCTGCTTGAAGGGTGACTAGGCAGGATGCCATTCTACGGCATCTTCTGATTTGGACACAGGTCTTGTATGGAAAGCATCCCAGGCTGGCCTTGAATTTTCTATGTAGCAGAGGATGACTTTTAACTCCTGATCTTCCTATCTCCAGGTTCCAAGTGCCAGGATTACAAGCATGCACCACCATACCCAGGTAAACACTGTCTCTTAATGGACATAAATGTGCTGCCCACATGCTGACTCTTTCCTCATTACTCACACTCGATGAAGAGGGCACAGGCAACTGCATGGGCCTTTGGCTGCCATTGACTCTCATCAAATGGGTTCTAATGACCTGGATGAGCACACAAGGGAGTAAACAGAGAGAATGCTAACACCATCAGGCATAGCTCTGCCAAGTTCCCTGGTCAATCTAATGCTTTTCAAGTATATTCTCTAAGTCCAGAAGTGGGCTCGCTGGATCTCAGGGTGCATTGTCACAGTTATGACAAAGGACTGACAAAGAAACTTTCTGTATCAGTGTCCTACAAAGATTCCCACTGGTAGGCTGAGCCCCAGCTTTGTTCACCTGTTGTGGTTACTGAATCTTTGTCCCCTACCATGATGGCTATTCTTAGTTGTCAACCTGACTACATCTGGGATTTACTAAAAATCCAAAATGGGACACCTGGGAGGGATTTTTCTTGACTGGATCATCTGAGGTCGGAAGGCCTGCCCTCAATCTGGGCCACACCAGGCATGGCAGACAAACTTTTGAAAGACAGGCTAATTGTTCTTGTTAACGAAGTGTGAACCCAGAACATGATTTTTGTGCTTACAAGCTCACCCTGAGAAAGCCTGGGAGCTACACTGAGATCCAAAACACCCAGCTAATAAATGCTTTCTATTGGCTTAAACCCATGTCCAAGCAGTCTTTGTGGTGAATACCCACAACATTGATGAAGGGATTTTAAGGCTCTGTGTAAAACCTAATCCTCCACAATGGGAAGGCCCAGAAGACATGCCCCTCATTAATCCTATAAGATGCAAAATGGTAATAGGGTAATATCTGAAGAGCTTTGTAGTTGCCCTTTCCTATTGGTTGATTGAATTCAATGGGTTTAATTGAGCCCAAAGTAGCAGAGGCCAGTGGCAGCACTGAATGCCAAAGGCAAGGTGATTGTAGTTATTGTAATGGGCAGTATAGGCAAAACAATGTCCACGATGGCCTGACCTGTACTAAGTAGCACAGGCAAAGTGATATGTGACCTTTATAGACCTTTGGTAGCAGATAATTAGCCATGGTGTTTCCAAGCATGAAATAGATAAGAAGCTTACTGCATTTTTGCTTGAAAAAAAAAACTTAAACAAATGAGAGAAAGGCTACATTGGATCATGGCAAAAGGGAATCTTGGCCCTGGAATTGATTTTCAGATTTGAGCCAGTTATTCAGACCTTTGAATGAAGGAAAGCCGGATTCCCTTGAGGAAGGACCTTGATAAAATACCTAAGAGATTTACTGTCAGCCTTTCCCCAGACATTCAGGACTGATGGCCTTTTGTTTGTTTTTGTTTGTTTGTTTGTTTGGTTTTGGTTTTGGTTTTTTTAAGACAGGGTTTTTCTATAGCTTTGGAGCCTGTCCTGGACCTCCCTCTGTAGACCAGGTTGGCCTCCAACTCACAGAAATCCTCCTGCATCTGCCTCCCAAGTGCTGGGATTAAAGGAGTGTGCCACCATTGCCCATCGACTGTTGATTCCTTTCCCAAAGTGTACAGTTACCTGACTGATGGCCTTTTACACAGTCAGGTAACTGTACTTGTTGAAAAGGAAACAATCAGACTTTCTGGTCTATTAGATCCTGGTGCTGAATATATTCTAATTCCAGGAAATCCCAAGAAACATTTTGACCCTTCAGTTAAAGTAGGAGCTTATGGAGGTCAGGTGATTAACTGAGTTTTGGCTAAAGTCTGACGAACAGTAGGTCCAGTGGGTCACTCATCCTGTGATTGTTTCCCCATCACAGAATGTATAATTGGGATGGATATATTTAGAAATTAGCAGAATTTCCACTCTGGTTTCCTGACCTGTGGAGTGAGGGTTATTGTGGTTAGAAAGGCTAAATGGAAGCTTTTGGAGTTATCTTTACCAGGGAAAATAGCAAACCAAAATCAGTATGGCATCCTGGAGGAATTGCAGAAATTAGTGCCACATTCAAGACTTGAAAGGTTCAAGGGTGAAAGATGGACAACATCTCCCTCTAACTTTCCTATTTTACCTGAGAGAAGACAAACAGAAGATGAAAGATGACAGCTGACTATCGCAAATTTTACTCAAGGCTGGGAAGGGGTTCCACTCACTATCACGCCTAGTGACCCACTAGGAAAAGTTTGGCTTCCTGTTCCAGAGATCTCAAATTCTGCTAAGTTTTGGTTCCAGAGTGGGGAATGCTTCTGCCTAGAGACACAAGAAGCATTCCACTGAACTGGAAGCTCAGACTTTCATATGGCCACTTTGGGGTTCTAATGCCCTTAAGCCAACAGTGTTAGGAAGGGCGATTGATCCAAATTACCATGGGGAAATTGGTTCTCAATGGGGATAAGGAAAATTTCATCTGGAGTGCAGGGGATGCTTTAGGGTATCTCTTGAAGTTATTACACCCTATGATTAAAACTACAACAACCCAATACAGTCAGGATGACAGAGGGCATGGGCTCTTCAGAAATGAAGGTATGGATCGCTCCTCTAGGAAAAGGGCCAAGACATACAGAATGGGTAGTAGAGGAAGGTAGTTACAAACACCAGCTAAGGCCACGTGACCAGTTGCAGAAATGAGGAGTATAATTGACATGAATGTTTCTGTTGAATTTTGTTAAGAATGTGTTTGTGTGATGTCTGTTTTCTTTCCTGGATTTCTTTATCATGTGATGTAACATCAATTGAGGCTCTATCAGTGTTTATCATATTTGACTTATGAGACACTACAAGAATGACCCTCAAGCAATATTGCCACCTGTTCTAAGATGCATAAAGTGTTTGAAGTTGTACGTGGGATAGTTATATTCTGTCAGGCATAATTATGGCCTAGCTATTGTTTTCATTTGGAAATTAGGCATGACATAAGGAGATAGGAGTGTGTGGGTCAAGGGGTGGACTTGTGATGGCTATTCATGGTTGTCAATTTGACTACATCTTGAACTAACCAGAAACCCACACAGCTGGGCATGCCAGTGAGGGATTTTTCTTGGTTGGATCATTTGAGATAGGAAGACTCACCCTAAATCTGGGCCACAGCTCCTCGTGGCACCCAATATATAGGACATAGAAGAAAGAAGCACTTCTCTTTGCCTGCTTGCCCTTGCTATCACTAGCAAGTCCATTCCTTCACTGACATTAGAACTTACTTCTTGGGGATTGCAACATATACTGAAGACCAACTGAGACTTCTAGCCTTGTGACTTGAAAAACTACTGGATGCTTGGACCTTCTGTGGAGAGACAACCATTGTTGGACCAGCTGGACCACAGCCTGTAAGTCTTTTTTTCCTTCAAGACAGGGTTTCTCTGTGAAACAGTCCTGGCTATCTTGGAACTCACTCTGTAGACCAGGCTGGCCTGGAACTCACAGAGATCAACCTGCTTCTGCCTTCCGATTAAAGGTATGCACCACTACTGCCTGGCTGTAAGTTTTCTTTGTAAGCCTTCTTTTTTAGTATTTATTTATTTATTTATTTATTTATTTATTTATTTATTTATTATACAGTGTTCTGCCTGCATGTCTGCCTGCACTACAGAAGAGGGCACCAGATCTCATTACAGGTGTTTGCAAGCCACCATGTGGTTGCTGGGAATTGAACTCAGGGCCTCTGGAAGAGCATCAGTGCTCTTAACCTCTGAGCCATCTTTCCAGCCCCCCAAGCCAGCCTGCAGAGGAGGCAAGGGATGAGGGGTGAGGAGTGAGCCCTCTCCCAATCCACCTCATCAAAGGCCTTTTCTTAGTTTAATGATAGTCTTCCTCTGTGTTTCCAGCTGTAGCTGCTGCTTCCCTGTGAAGGAAAAAATAAATAAAAAGTAAAGGAAAGGAACATGACTGGTCCTGTGTAGGGAGGAGGAGAGAGTTTATTATAGATGTGTGGGAGAGCATAGCCAGAAGCAGAGATATCCGGGGAGTCCTAGCATGACTAGGCTGAGCTGTGCCATATGAGGAGTGTGAGAAGGGGGGCATGGGAAGGAAGAGGAGAAAGAGGGGAACCAAGAACAACAACCAGAAGGCCCAAAAGAGAGGAGATGAAAGGGCCAGGTAACCGAAATGATTTGTATTATATAGGGAAGGGCAGTCCAGCCCCTGGACTGGAGAAGTTTAGGGGAAGGGGATGGGGTAGAATGCCAACCAGGAGGGCCCTGTAACTGCTAGGGACTGAAGGATGCAGGGAAAACCTGGCAGCCAGGTCCACTTTGGTATGTTAAATAGGCCCCTCAGCCATTTGTCTTAGGTTTGAAACCTAACACACTGTGATTCTTATAAGCTTCCTGGGGGAGGGGTCCCTGCTCCCCTCTCTGTGACAGTGCCTTCATGGATACGGGAAGTAATGACAAGAGAAAGGGACAAAGCCACCTTTTATGCACAAGGCCCTGAGTTCTGTCTCCATGAAGAATTATATCTCTGTTGAGCACGTAGGACTTCTTTCATTATCATTTATTATCCCCCAGCGGTCCTGCGTAGACATCATTCATGTAATGCTTACATAACAGCAGACAGTGCAAGTGGTCACCTAGAGATGAGTGTGTAGGAGGATGAGCAGAGAGGCTAGGCAAATACTATGTCATTTCACAGTAGGGACTCAAGCATCCTTAGAGGTTGGTCTCCTCAGTGAGGCCTGGACCCATCCCCCTGAGGTACTGAGAAACAACTGTATATTAAGGGTGTACACATTGCTTAGAAAATACAGAGGAACATGTGGGACCAGCAGGTGCCCTGCTCGGCTCTCCCTAGTACAGGAGGCTGTGACCGGAGAACATGAGCCTTTGGGGACATAGCTAACACATCTGAGTGCCTGGGGGTGGGGGGGGACGCATGGCCATGGCTCACGGTGCTGGTACCTGACTGGGGGCTCCCTTTGATTGGTCTGACTTCTCCCACCCCTGAGCAACCTGGGGCAGCATGCTGAAGTTAGTCTTCTGTTTGTTAAGTCACTCCACCACTTCCTTCTTACTCCCTCACCACCCCCTTCCCCACCAAATGCTGGTTTTTGTTTTGTACTTGAGGTTGAGCCCAAAGCCTCATATGTATCCAGACAAAGTTTATTCTACTCATTCCCATTCCCACCTCTCTTTTACAAATATTTCAATTATTTATTTTATGGATATGGATACTTTGCCTGCATGTATGTCTGTGTACCACTAGTGTGCCTGCAGCATCCAGAAGAGGGCGTCAGATCCCTTGGAACTGGAGTTACAGACAGCTGTAACATGGGTACAGGCACTTGAACTCAGGTCCTCTGAAAGGACAGCCAGTGTTCTTAACCCCTGAGCCATCACGCCAGCAGCAGCACTCCAGTCTTATTTGTATTTTTGTATTTTGAGACAGGGTTTCACTAAGTAGCTCTGGCTGGCCTTAAACTTGTGATTCTTCTTCTTCAGCCACCCAAATAGCTGGATGACAGGCCTGTGCCACCAGGATTTGCCTACACATCCTTAAAGACCCACCTAAGAGCCGGGTGGTGGTGGTGGTGCACACCTTTAATCCCAACACTCAGGAAGCAAAGGCAGGCAAATCTCTGACTTCAAGGCCAGCCTGGTCTACAGAGCGAGTTCCAGGATGGCCAGGGTTACACAGAGAGGAAGGAGCCCCTCCGCCTGCTCCGGGGGAGAGAAAAGGTAGAATATCGGGTGAGGAGGACAAGGGGAGTAGAGACGATGAATGGGACACATGTCCATCCTCCCTAAGTAATCCGTAAAGTCAATGCAACTCCAGTTGTCTGTGGAGGTGGATTGGGCTCTGCTGGTATCATTTAAAAATAGAAGCAGCAGCACTCAGCTGAGAGCTGGAAGGAATCCAGTGAGGCAGGGAGGCGGGGATGTGCAGCAAGCAAGACAGGGAGGAAGCTGCTGCCCCTTCTGGCTGGAGCAGAGGCTGTGGAGTGTCAGCTTCTCTCTGGGATCTCCAGGGTCTGGGCCCTGCTCAGACGGAGCCACACCCCTTCCCAATCCTACCTGCTAGGGAAAGGTCTAAAGTGGCTGGGAGGTCAAATCACCACGTGCTGATGGGGCTTGACCTCTCCCTGATGGCCTTTGGCTCTGACTGGGATTGGATATAGTTATAGGGGGATCCTTCAACACAAACCTTTCAAACAGGCTGGATCCAGTAGGTTCCTTAGAATCTAGACTTCACCTCTTAGACCTGGGTGCCTAGCGCTGGCCCTGGTGCTGAACCAAAAGGGTCTGAATGGGCAGGAAGAGCCCCTAGCAGCCCAAACAAGTTGTCACCCTGTGAACAGCAGACAGCTGACGTCTTTGTTTTTTTAATTTATTATGTATACATCATTCTGCTTCCATGTATATATCTGCACACCAGAAGAGGGCACCAGGTCTCATAACGGATGGTTGTGAGCCACCATGTGGTTGCTGGGAATTGAACTCAGGACCTCTGGAATAGCAGCCAGTGTTCTTAACCTCTGAGCCATCTCTCCAGCCCAACATCTGACTTCTTAATGGTTTCTTCCATTGCACCCACCAATCGGGCCTTGAACTGCTCCAGTTCAAGGACCAAGGACCTGCCTTTGATATAACCTGGCAGCTGGAATAAGTGCTTTTGGGGAAGAGCTGGCCCTGAGAAATGGGCAAAAGGAACTGACTTATATGCTGGAGGGGAGTTCATTGTCCTGAGGCCTAGACATTAGAGATGGGCAGACAGGTTCATTATCATGAGTGAGAGCTTGGGCAAAAGCTTAAGCACTCTGCCTCAGGAATGGCACCAAGCTGGTGCGCTCTCTCTCTCTCTCTCTCTCTCTCTCTCTCTCTCTCTCTCTCTCTCTCATCTGACTTTGGGCCATAGGATAAACTGCACTGGACAAAAGACACATTTGACCCAGTGGGAATGTGGTTGGGGTACAGCTGGGAAACAAGTGACAAGCAGCAGACCTGAGAAGGAGTGTGCTGCAGAATGCCAGCAGAAAAAGGGCAAAGCGGTGCCAAGGAGGTGTGGGATGCCAGCTGAAACAGGGCACCTCGTGGGACATCCAAACAAGGATCTTGATGTTGTGAAGATGTCTTCAGACAGTTCTTCCAGGAGAGAGAGTGTTGGCATATGAGGTCAGTGTGGAGGCCAGAGTAGGGAAGACTCGAGAAGGCTGGGAGTGTCGCAGGGGGACGATGGACTTGCTCCCTTAGTGGACATAGAGCCTCTGGGAATTCCTAAGCACAGCAGATCTGTGACTTTTGGGCTACTATGCTGGGGACAGAGTGCAGAGCGAGTGTGGCAGAGTGGCCAGGAGGTGGAAGGAGAGATCTGGAGGAGAGAGGATGGATGGTGAGGCTCTGAAGGCTCCACTGGGAGTTCTCCAGCAGATGGAATGTAGAGAGAGAGGAAGAGGCAGTAAGACAGCACGCAGGCTTCTGGCCTGTTCAACCGGAAGGAAGGGGCTGGTGGAGAATGGGGGTGGCAGTGGAACAGGAGTGGGGGCGAGGGAATCGGGAATCAGCTTTGGACGTGGGGTTTGAAGATGCCTATTTGGTGTGTTGAGTAGGAAGCTGGATGTTTGATTCTGCAGTTTGTGAAAGTAGAGATGGCATTTAAAACAGGGACACGCTCAATTTGCCAGCTATAGTCACAAAAGGCACCGTCGACTTCTGATGTCATTGCTATTATTATTTTCATCTTGCAGATGTAGAAACAAAGGCTCAAAGGGAGGTGACTTTGAACCCCAAGTGCCACCACCCATTAATGGTAGACTGGAGTCCCAGCCTGGCACCCAGCTTACCATTTGCTCCCAACTCCACTGCTGCGAGGAACTCTGGCTGTGCATCTTCCAGGATATCGTGCTCAAGGAGTAGACAGATTTGGAGACATACTCCAGGACTGAAAGGGACAGCCCCAGCCACATAGAGCTGGAAGGGCATAGGGAGCCTGTGTTGTCAGCTTTTCTAACCCTGTGACGAATGCCTAGGGGAAGCAGGTTAAAGGAGGAAGGACTTAGTGTGTCGTGTGTTTTTAGTGTGTTCACTCAGGTCTGTGTTGAGTCAGAAAAGCATGACAGGGAGGGACATGGTGGAGCAAGGTTGCTTGTCTCAAGGAGGCCAGGATACAGAGGAAATGATCTAAGATATTTTTATAAGGCACAGCCCCCCCCCCCGACACCCACAGTAATCTACTTCCTTTATGCACATCCCATTTTCTCACAGCCCATTTAGTACAAATTCATCAGTGGATAAACCAAAGAATGACGTTAGCACCCTTGTGAGCTAATTGCATTTCTCTGTTTTATTTTTTAATTATTTTTTTAAAAAAGTATTGTATGTATGTGTTTGTGTGT